AACATCGCTATCAGCTCTGTTCCCAGGCCGAAAGTCAAAACACTGCACTGCACTGCACCAGCTACCAAGGAGGAGAAAAATGACTGCTACTGCTGAACCCAGGACACCAAAAGGGTAATGTGGCATGAGAAGTAACAACAAAATAATCAAATTATATTTTACTGTTGTCTTTATTTCAGTTACTCTAGTTAAGTTCATAGTTAACTGTCTTCCTAAACTTATGGCAATTCCTGACCAGAGGGACAGTAGGCACACCTCTACTGCTGCTATTTGGTGGTATCTCCAGTATTCACCAAGGCTCTGGACATCGCTGTGTTAGCCTTGTTCAAAGATGTATCATGAGAAAGTGATGCCTGTGATTCAAATTTATGTACTTTCTAATTCCAGAATAGCCCTTTTAGCACATGTTGAACAGATCTTGTAGTGCAAAAGCAAGGAACTGGATGACTGTAGTGAATTAGCAGTCGAGCCAGACAGGATCTCTTATATTCTTTGTTCCAAAGGGCCAAATAGGTGTGAATCTGATTTCATTATTCAGAAAAATCTCATTAATACAGAAATACCACCACTTTGAAGTGCATCTCCAGAGGGATGAAATTATCATGATTCTGTCTACTCTGCATCGTGCGCTAGCTATGTCAGCCCAGCCAAATATGTGCCTTATGCAGCCAAGGAAGCTATTTTTAGATCTGAAATTGTATCCAGGTTAGAACTGGATTAGTAACAGCACATTGCCTAACCTTTGAGGCAGAAGCTCTGGGCTGAGCCATCGCAAAGGTTCCCAGCTGGAAGCATGCCCTCAGTGAAACATAATGTTGTACAGTATATGGTGGTTTCTTGGCTGTGAATATCCATAAATTTATAGAAGTAAAATACTATAAAAGTTGAAATCACTCCCCTTCCCTGGCAATACTGCCAAGTCATTGTTTCAGAAAGCAGCTTCTAGAGTACCAAGAAAAATGCAAAATTTCTCTTCAGAGGAGGCATTTCGTCCTTTTGGGGAACAGTTAGACATTAAGATACACCAAAACATTTCTTAGTATATCTGTTCATACTTACTATACTGTTGTGAACATAACATGGCATAATATATACTTTATATATTATATATTTGTGTTTATAGGGACAGTAATTTCCCACCACTCCTTGCATTTTCCATGGTTATGTGAGAGGACTAGGAGTTAGGAAACACAGGTTTCTTTCCTATTTTTCCATCCTGAATGTGTGATTTCAAGAAAAATAACGGGATGACTCACTCCTTACTTTTTCCATCCGCAAAATGTGAAGAATAATTGCTTTATGTCATCAGTGTTTTGATTTCTTTGATACCTTTGATTGGAATACACCACCTGCACGCATAGGAATTATCCTGTACACAACGTTTTAAAGCAGACAGCATTTGCCAAAAAGAACTGAACAACACAGAAGGCAAACACCTGAGAGGGATAAAATATGTATTCCCAGTTGGCAAAAAGTTTAAAGGTGCACAGTTTACCTGAGGAAATTACTGCCTTGTAGAGGGTCTGCTTTTATTTTGGCAGAATATTATTTATTCAGCCTGTTACGGCTTTTCAAATAATGACACTTTCTGGTACAAATATTTTGGTAGATGTCCTAATCTGGAAAATTTGCACCACTTGGCCTGCAAGTGACTATATATTATGGCTGTAGCAGGTGGATAATCTAATACTAACACATCTCAGGTATTTATTTCCAGATTAATCCATGTCCGCAGATTTGCATTATGACTGAAGGTGTAATCAGAGTCAGGAACACCACATAAGATATGACATTCTCAGAGCTACTTGGGAGTCACAGTGTTTTTTCCGTTTCATTCTTGATCTTGAGAACACAGAGAGAGGCATACCTAACTACTAATATATGATATATAATATATATTATATACCATATATAATATAAAATATGCTTACTTCACATTCCAGTCTGCTTTAGTTACCATCCTTACCATCAAGCAGGCAGAACAGAAACAATGATCTATTCAACCCTGTTTCCATTCAATTCTCTTGCTCGAGGGAGCAAGCAAGCAGGCCCTTTTACATACCTACCCACACAACCCCCCCCAAACCGAGAAGTTACAGGCTTTTTAGAAAAGACAGGCCCGGCAGGCGGGGAGGGGGTCGCCCTTTATGTTAGGGAAAGGCTGGAGAGTATGGAACACTGTCTGGGGACAGGTGATCAGTTAACAGAGAGTTTGTGGGTCAGGGTTAAAGGGAATATAGCTATGGGAGACATTACTGTGGGGATCTGTTACAGACCGCCTGATCAAGGAGAACCTGCGGTTGAAGCACTCCATAGACAGATAGGAAAAGCCTCACGCTCACAGGCCCTTGTTCTCATGGGGGATTTCAACCACCCTGACATCTGTTGGAAGGACGGTACAGCCCGGCACAAGCAGTCCAGGAGGTTCCTCGATTGTGTGGAAGACAACTTCCTTCTGCAAGTAACAGAGGAGCCGATAAGGAGAGGTGCCGTGCTTGACCTCGTGCTCACCAACAGGGAAGGGCTCGTTGGAAATGTGGTGCTCCAGGGCAGCCTTGGATGCAGTGATCATGAGATGCTCGAATCTGAGATCCTCAGGACAGTGAGAAGAGGTGCAGCAAGCTCACTGCCCTGGACTTCAAACGAGCAGACTTTGGCCTCTTCAGGAACCTGCTTAGTAAGGTTCCATGGGATACAGCCCTAGAGGGCAGAGGGGCCCAAGACTGTTGGGCGATATTCAAGGATCATCTGCTACAAGCTCAGGGGTGTTGCATCCCAACTAGAAGGAAGTGCAGCAGGAGGGCCAGGGGACCTCCTTGGATGGCTAAGGAGCTCCTGAGGAAAATTCAAAGGAAAAAAGAGCCTTATAAAAGCTGGAAGCAATGACAGGCAGCCTGGGAAGAATACAGGGATGTTGTCCGGGAAGCTAGGGACCAGGTTAGGAAAGCCAAGGCCCAGTTAGAATTAAACTTGGCTAGGGATGTTAAGGATAGCAGGAAGGAATTCTACAGGTATGTAGTGAATAAAAAACAGACTAGGGACAACGTAGGCCCCCTCAGGAAGCTATCGGGAGAACTGGCTACACAGGATTTGGAGAAGGCTGAGGTTCTGAATGACTTCTTTGCCTCGGTCTTCACTGGCAAAGGCTTTGACCGCACCGCCCAAGTCTTGGAAGGCAGACACAGAGACTGTGAGAATGAAGACCTTGTGCCCACTGTAGGAGAGGATCTGGTTAGAGACCATCTTAAAAATCTGAACGTGCACAAGTCCATGGGAACTGATGAAATCCATCCTGGGTCCTGAAGGAGCAGCCACTGTCCATCAGATTTGAAAAATCACGGCAGTCAGGTGAAGCTCCTGACAACGAGAAAAAGGGAAATATAACCCCCATTTTCAAGAAGGGGAAAATGGATGACCCAGGGAATTACAGACCAGTCAGTCTCACCTCTGTGCCTGGCAAAATCTTGGAGCAGATTCTCCTGGAAGGCATGCTAAGGCACATGAAAAACAACAAGGTGCTTGGTGACAGCCAGCATGGCTTCACTAAGGGGAAATCCTGCCTGACCAATTTGGTGGCCTTCTATAATGGGGCTACAGAACTGATGGACAGGGGTAGAGCAGTTGATGTCATCTACCTGGACTTGTGTAAAGCGTTCGACACTGTCCCACATGACATCCTTGTCTCTAAATTGGAGAGACATCAGTTTGATGGATGGACCACTCTGTGGATAAAGAACTGGCTGGATGGCCGCACACAAAGAGTTACGGTCCATGGCTCAATGTCCAGCTGGAGACCAATAGCGAGTGGCGTCCCTCAGGGATCGGTGTTGGGACCGGTCTTGTTTAACATCTTTGTCACTGACACGGACAGTGGGATTGAGTGCGCCCTCAGCAAGTTTGCCGATGACACCAAGCTGTGTGGTTCGGTTGATATGCTGGAGGGAAGGAATGCCATCCAGAGGGACCTTGACACGCTTGTGAGGTGGGCTGATGCCAACCTCATGAAGTTTAACCATGACAAGTGCAAGGTCCTACACCTGGGTTGGAGCAATCCCAGGCACAGCTACAGGCTGGGCAGAGGAGAGATTCAGAGCAGCCCTGAGGAGAAGGACTTGGGGGTGTTGGTTGATGCGAAAATGAACATGAGCCAGCAGTGTGCGCTCGCAGCCCAGGAAGCCAACCATATCCTGGGCTGCATCAAAAGGAGCGTGACCAGCAGGTCGAAGGAGGTGATCCTGCCCCTCTACTCTGCTCTCATGAGACCTCACCTGGAGTATTGTGTGCAGTTCTGGTGTCCTCAACATAAAAAGGACATGGAACTGTTGGAACAAGTCCAGAGGAGGGCCACAGGGATGATCAGGGGACTTAAGCACCTCCCGTATGAAGATAGGCTGAGAAAGTTGGGGCTGTTCAGCCTGGAGAAGAGAAGGCTGCGTGGAGACCTCATAGCAGCCTTCCAGTATCTGAAGGAGGCCTATAGGGATGCTGGGGAGGGACTCTTCATTAGGGACTGTAGTGATAGGACAAGGAGTAACGGGTTAAAACTTAAACGGGGGAAGTTTATATTGGATATAAGGAGGAAATTCTTTCCTGTTAGTGTGGTGAGGCATGGAATGGGTTGCCCAGGGAGGCTGTGAATCCTCCATCCCTGGCAGTGTTCAAGACCAGGTTGGATGAATCCTTGGGTGGTATGGTTTAGTGTGAGTTGTCCCTGCCCATATCAGGGGGGTTGGAACTTGATGATCTAAAGGTCCTTTCCAACCCTAACTATTCTATGATTCTATGATTCTATATATGTAATTTATCAAAATAAGTAGGCTTGTTGATATCTTCATAGATGTTCAGGAGCAGTAATTCTTGTTACTGCTATCCAGAGTGCCTGCATATTTTCTTGAATGACAGTCACAGCAAATATGATTGAAATCTAACCAAAAATCTCTCAGATGAGAGGACAAATGAAGAGTCTTTTTATTACTGGGTTATATTTATGTCCAGTTTACCTCAAGTGAAGAGTTTTGAAGTTTCCCAGCTAGGACTTCTTTCTCTTTCTCTAGTTGGTTTAGTTCACACTCAGATTTTCTTTTAAGTTCCTCTAGCTGTTTCTGCAGCTCCTAAAGTGAGAAAAAAGGGAAAAAAAAAAGAAAAAAGAGCATGCAATATCTGGGACAGAACATGATAAAGCAGTTTACACAGTAATATGTGTTACTGTTTATACAATTATACATGCTACACTTTTTAACATCCCTTATGTATTATTTAGTCAAAGAAGTATTAATAGTTTGGCCTGATTTCTGGTTCTTTCTAGTACTAGTGTTAGCCAATACAGCTCATATAATCCTAATCTTCTACTGGAAGCTTCCCTGAGGCAGAAAATTGTTCAGCATGAAGAATCAGACTGTTTTGCCTTCAGTGGTGTTAGTGTTCAAAAAGAATTTAGTATGCAAGAACCACTCACAAGGTCTGAAAGTAATAAATATATGTTGATCATACATAAAAGTAGATGACTAATGGGCAATTAGTGGAAAAGCATTATCTTACAGTGGAGCATTAATGGGTATCTTAGTGGAGCATTACTGGATAACTTAGTGGAGCATTAATTTACAGCAGGTGTTAAGAAAATCCCAGAGAGGAAGTAAAAATAAATAAAAAAATAGAAGACGACACAATCACCTTATTTTTTGAAATAGTTTTTGGAATATCAGTGATACGTATGCAAGACGGTGACCAAGAAAGAGCCTGTAGAAAGTGTTTGTAGCAAATGTAATTGTTTACTAAAGAAAGACTGAGTGTGCAACTTGTAGAAATGTCCTGAAGTGATATATACTACAAGTGTGTAAGTGTGCTTGTTCTGCCTATTTGTGCCAATTTGCTCACTCAAAACATATTCTACCATAGTTTCAGACACCATAAATGTGGGAAAGATAGGAAAAAAACAGCAATTAAACACCTCCCTTATCCTCTACAGTCCCTTCTCACAGTCCTACTCCTGCCCCACCTCCATTTTTACAGCAAAATTACTTAAGAATTCAAGATAACAGAAAAGGTACCTAAAACCTAAGAAACTGAGAATTGTTGAGAGGATGACATTATATTAGGAAACAGAAGCACAGGCAACACTGACGTATTCCTTGCAACTCATAATTAAATAAAGGAGAACATACTAGCATTTCACAGTTAAAACCTGGATAGCAGTTAGGTAGCAATTCAAAAGATTAACAGAGACACATTAATATTGAAAAGAAAAAATACAGTTTTGTGTGTATGAAAAGAAGAGGATATAATATTATCCTCAAATAATAAGTTCTCTGATTAAAACCTGGAGATCTGGTGTTTGCAGCATTCCCACTGCAACTTTGCCAATTTACTGGCTTCTCTATATCTTAGCTTTTCTATCTGGAAAATAGATGTAATAATTCTCAGACAGTTGTTACAAGCCTTAATTCCATCAGGGGACATAAACAGCATTATTAATGATAAATATTGCAATGCTAACTTTTCCTAACTCAAGCAAAACTTAGAATTTTTACTTGATTCTTGATTTTAATATGAATCTCTGAGATGGTTATAAGCAATAAGTGCCTACTAGTATGTCTTTTTTTAATAAAGTATTTGATGTTTAAATTTGATCTGACTCGCATGAAGACCTACAGCTGGCATCATTTTAAATATACCTGTATAAACTGATTCACATAAGTGAATGCTCAAAGTCCTTTTCATAAAGCTTACACTTCACAGTGCAAATGTGTACCCTGAAGCACTGCATTTTCAAGTACTGATGAAACATGAGCACTTTCACTAGCAGGTAATTTACTCACACAGGTTTGAGAAATGAGATTACACAAATGTATACACTTCAGCAAGTTCATAGGCAGAAATTAATTCTTCTGACAAGCACTTAATTCCTAGTCTTCAAAATCTAGAAGGTACTATGAAGCCCAACATTTAGTGATAGGAGCTGCATGCTTTTTATGGCTTCCCAACTTGTCAGCAAGCGACTGAATTACTTTCAAGTAAATGTGAATCTCGGAAAGCAGCACTAAAACTGGGAAAAATAGGTACCAGTACATTCTTGGCACCAACAAGGGTCTAAAGAACACTTGACCTGATTGTCCAATTCTACAATATCTTATTTTTAGAAGATATCTGACAAACACAAAAGTAAATGAGGAGACAGAAATTCAATTCCTCCATAGTTTATGCCCACATTTGGCAAACCACTTGGGCATGCACCAAGTTATAAGCTTCAATAAGCATTAAGCATGTGCTGAAAACTAACCACGTATTTCAAGGTTTTCCTTCATTTGAACAGATTTCAGCTCATATTTAGTTTCCTACTGTACAGTGTCATTACAGATGGCAAATTTCCTGAAGCCAAAGAATTCAGCCACAGACAGCAGTTTTCATGAAAGAGAAACCCTTCGAAGAATCTCTTAAGCCAGTCACTGCTAATGCATACTGACAACAAAATTTACAGCTCAGCCACTTATAATTCATTGAGAAAAGGAATTGCTCAGGTAACGTGTCTGAGTCCATGAGAACATGAATCTTCCTTCTGACTCAAGTTAAATGAGGACATACAGATGTGGGTATTTGTAACTCCTCATCATTTCACTGGTAACACCTGTACTCTCAATCATTTACCAACACTTGGCAGAATTAGATCCTCTGCCACAGTGCAAAGTTTTGATTAATCAATATAGATGAGTATTTCAAAGCAGCAATCCATGGAAATTCAAGTCAGAAACTGGAATACACCTTCAATAAGGTTTTCTTTAGGAAGGACCTTACATTAGTCACTCTAAAGGTCACATGCAAAGCATGCAAGGATAAGTGTTGCTAAGAAGGCAGCTCATCACATCAAGGATAAATTCACCTTCCTGCCTGTGGAGTTTTTCATGGAAATACACCAGTTTGACTTTCTTTTTCCTCCCCACCCCCCACCCCACCCCAGTAAGACTGTAGCAAGAAAATCCTTGCATTTTATGTTAATTCAAAGTGCCTCCAGTGAGGATAATTCAAACGATGGCACTGTGACCAATAAGATTAAAAGCAGATGAATTAGAGCATCTATAAATAGAAGAACATTCCTACCTTCTGCATTTTTTTCTTTCAGCTTCCATGAAGTTTTAGACTGGCTTTATTTCCTTTGCATGCTTCATTACAAGGTCTTCCAGCCCTTTTGACAGCTATTCCTTCAGACAAATCTTTTCCTTATGGAACTGATGCTTCCCTTTACAAGGCAAGTTCTCTGTGCCTTTTATTCATATCCTCTTTTTAAATGGTTACAGTTTCCATAGTCTATAAAACACACTAACTATATAACATGACAAAACTAGGGTAGAATTCTGTGGTCACACTAGTCTATTTTGTAGTGAATATGCTATTTAGGTAGACGTAGTCCGCTGAAAAATACTGGCTTTATTTTAGTTAGCAATGTAGAACTGTAGTGATTCAGGCCTGTATGCCTCTTCTGCAGACTAGGAATGGGTTTTACTTTTGCTGCTCTGGTTTGAGTTGGGTGTGTAACTCACTTCCAACCACGCAGGCTTCCTCAAGGACAACCTCAGTTCTGTGAAAAAGTACAAAGGGCAATTTGTTTTTTCGTATGTCTCTGATGTCAGGTCCAATTTTCCAGAATGTTAACATAACAGTATTATAGGAGAACTAAAAAATTCAGAAAAGATTTGGGGCTGGACAGTTGTTTAAGGGGAGACATTATACAAAGGGAACTCTCAGGACACATACGTTCCTCATTGTAGTGAGTTTATTCCTGCATTATTCCTGCATAGCTTGTCAGAAGAACTGTTTTCTGTAGTTAAAGAAACCAAATCAGCATTCCAGCTTGACCTCAACAGAGAAATTCTGCTGGGTACAGAAGCAGTTGAACACTCTGCCCTGGTCTAGCTCAAGGATGTCAGTAGTTTCTTCACTATCACTGCAGCAACTCATTTAGTTCAGGTTATAAACACAAGCCAGTGTTCCACTGGATGAGGTCAGAGATCTGGGAATCTTAGAGGACTGAATGCTGTAGAATAACCCAAAAGCCATTACAGAAAGATGATACTGATTTCAGTACTTTTGGTATGCCATGCCTTTGAATAGTTGAGAGCAAACCACCTGTTTAAGCTCTTGCACATCTTCAGAGCAGCTCCTGTTCTGGCCTCTGCACAAGCCATTTGCTGTTATTTGATGTTTCAGTTCACTTTATTAACAGCTTCGCTTTGGGATTTCAACATTGTTTCCATATCTCCTGTGGTATCAACATTTACATTTCAAATAGCACAAATAACTTGCAGACTTTCCAATGTGAGTGACTACTGACAAATACTTCAGTATGACACTGACAACAATCTTACCTGCTTTTTGCAGGATTTCCTTCTCTTGAAGTAGATCTCTTTCTTTGACTACACTTAGATCTTCCTGCAGTTGTTCCACTCTGCCTTCTGATTCCAGAATTTCTTGTTGTGTTTACTTAAGCTACACTTCCAAATCCTAAAATATCCATGACATTACTTCTATTTTTATTAAATATGTTTCTTTTTTTTGTCCTCTGAACTAAATGGTCATTTTCTCTCTCAGTGTAGTTCCACAATATAAATTTTTCACCTACAGAGCTGGTTCAAATGCATTTTTTGTCTTCCATACCCTTAAGCTGTCTCTGCTGCCAGAATGTTTGTAATGTGAAGCCATTCCCTCAGATGTAGTAGGCATCATTGTAAAGTGAACACTCATCAAGAATTACGTCAGACATCTTTCAAGTGATTAGCCTAAACTTGGAACGGGATATACTTCCATTAATTTCATGACAACTCATGCCAAAAGTTAATGAATATTAGTTGGTAAGCTTCTTTTCCAGTTGCTGAAGTACAATAGTTTGTAACATAATGCAGGTGCCTAAAACCAGGAATATCAGATCCTACAGACTTGGCTGGGAATTATCTGTCCATAAATAAAGCCAAAAAATTGAACCATATTTAATGTTTTATTTCTGCATGTTCTAGTCCCAGTTTCTACATGCCCAATATAATAATGCAATATCCACTCAGACAAAATTGCCATTTGTTCCTGTATGAACATTGAGTAAAACCTTATGTATTAAAACAAACTTGTGTTTAGCACTCTTTATAGTTGAAAACTGAAACTCGTTTCTTGTACCTCCAGCATATGCCAAAATTCCAAAACTAGACAGATCAGACTTAATGACTTGTTATCCTTTGTATTCGCTCTTCCACAGTAATAATAATAACAAAATGCACGAATGTGATGCCTTTCATCTAAAGGCCTCAAATCTCTTGGCATACACTGAGAAGAAAACAGAAAATTCACCTTGCTTAAACATGAGTCCTTTTGTCTTTTAAGCCTTATAATAGCTTTTCTTGCTAGTCTTTACTAATGATCAGATGTACTAGTGATCAAAGAAATGTTTCTGTTTGCCAGTCTGCCCCTTGTTCACAGGAGTGTGAAAAATCTATTAATCTGTTTAATGGTGGCATCAGAAACAGTCAATTCAGAAAGGAGAAACTTTTCTTTATACATTCAAGGCAATATGCTCTGGTAGTATGTAAATCAGACTCATTCCAAAGACTTAGGGGATCTGAAATGTGCAAGGTGAGCATGTCCCTCAGAAAGTATTTCAGTTTTATCCAGATGATACTGAAGTTAGAAATTAAATTGCTAATGACACCACCTTCTTATTTTCAGTTCCTATGTGTCCTGGGTTTAGAAGTAGCAGTCATTTTTCTCCTTCTTAGTAGCTGGTGCAGCGCTGTGTTTTGACTTTCAGCCTGGGAACAGAGCTGATAACTCTGATGTTTTAGTCTGACCAAGGACTTTCTGAGCCTCATGCCCTGCCGGGGAGGAGGGGAAGCCAGGAGGAAGCAGAGACAGGACACCTGACCCAAACTGACCAAAGAGGTATTCCATACCACAGCACGTCATGCCCAGGATGTAACTGAGAGTTACCCGGAAGGGCTAGCACTGCAGGGTTGGACAAGGTCAGTGCTTGGTGCTTGCTCGGTCAGCGGGTGGTGAGGTGTTGTATTCTCTTCCCTTGTTATTTCCTTCATCATCATTATTATTGGTGGTAGCAGTAGTGATTTGTGTTATACCTTAGTTACTGGACTGTTCTTATCTCATCCTGTGGGAGTTGCATTCTTTTCGGTTCTCCTCTCCATCCCTCCTGGAGTAGGGGGAGGGAAAGAAGGGGGGGGAGTGAGTGAATGAGCTGCCTGGCTGGTTTTAAACCACAACACTATGTTTTACATAATGTATTCCTAAAAGACTGCATTTCTTACATGGTAAATAGGAAGAATAAATCATGTGCATAATTTTTCATGTCTCCATTTCTGCTGAATGTTACTTCAAGTACCCCCAAGAAATGAGGATTTTACTTTCCCTCTTTCCATCTGTCACTTCTAACTTCTACAGAGCCCAGACACTTTTCCGTGTTGAAACAGATATAATTTCCCTGACTCAATTTAGAACAAACTGCATCTCTGCCATTCATTATAACCTCTGCACTTTCCTGCAGAAGTTAGAGGTTGTTCTGCTGCAGAACTACACATTAAGAGAATAGTCTAAATAATATTGAGGAAGGTGTATTCAATTCACCCTCTGATCTTGTGAAATAAAAGGGCAGTGACTGAACTGAAGGCTGAACTTCCTCAAAGAACATCCTCAAAGATGGCACAAAACTCTGCACCATCAGCAAAATGATACCGACAGTCAAGATGTGAAGGCAGATAGTGAAAAGAATCAGAGTTGTCTTGGAAGAACACAGCTGACTGGGGTGACCACACTTCATACAAGGTTCTGGGGTTATCTGTCTCTAAAGGAAATAAATCTTTCCCATCAAGAAACAGTTATTCTGAAATACTCCAAGTCTAGACCTTCAAGGTGTTTTCTTATCTAATATGCATGATTGCTGTCATAGGGCTGGGGATGGGTCTGCTAGGTGAGTTTATGTGATGGGGAGGACCAGTAGTATGAGAAGGAAGTGGAACTGTTGAGCACAGAGCATGGCTGGGTGCTTCAGCTTCAGTGCAGTTCATCAGTGTCTCTCCCACATCCTGACCTTATGTACCAAATCCAGCTGGTTGGCAGACTGCCCATGATGTGTCATCAATGCAATTAAGCAGAAAGGGGCTGCAGAGCTGTGCTGCAAATGTCTGAGGTATACATCAGTGAGAGTAGACAGGCAAGTGCAAGATTAGAACTAATGGTGAAAGTCTCATGGCTCTGTGCATAGAACTCCACAGGTTTAAAGGACACTTCATTAAACATCACCTGGAACAAGCCACTATTGCAAGAGTCATAAAATACAACACACTTGATTCCTAACCTGTCAGCTCAGGTTTCTTACCCAAACTTGTTCATGTCCACGTACTAAGCTGCTGGCAGCCACAAGGGAAAAGAAGAATGTACTCTGTAAATACCCATTGCTAGCATGAGTGCCTGCCTGGTGCTCTCTTCACATTTCTGGGCAGGAAAGGTAAAGCTCTGTTCAGTCAACACATGAAGGAACACTAAGTCTAGTGTTCAAAGAGTTCTTATGAGTTACTAATAATCCCAACTCTTTTTTTAAAACTCTCAGCACTATCTTCCTCCTAAGCCTCTAAAATTGCTTTAGTGCTTACAATGCATTTGACTCAATATATTTAAAAGACCTCCTCCTCTGTCAAATTTTTAAAAACTGATAATTTGCACTTTTATAGAAAGAGATAAAGACCATAGTCTTATACCCTACCTGTATTCTCTCCTTCAGCTTCTGGGAATGCTTCTTCATCTCATTTATCTTCTGGTTTTTCTCCTCTAGGTCTGCCTCCAGCTTCTTTACCTGCTGCAGCAAAAAACCTTTCTCAGCCTCTGAGCTCTTCCTTTGCTCCATTTCTCTTTGTTGGCAATTCTTTGTTTCTATCATAGATTGTTGAGTAGCCTTTTTCAAAGTCTCTTTTTCTTTCTCACAAGAGGCTTGCAGTTTGCTTGTTTTCTGAGTATATTCTTCACTTGCTCTCTGGTTTTCACTCTTCAGGTTTTTCATCTCATTTATTAAAGGTTGTCCTTCCACACTGTATTTCTCATCTAAAATCACTTTTTCATCTATATTTTGTCTTCTGGATGCTTTGCATTCATTTACCAGCCCATCAGATTCCTGACTTAAATGTAGAAGCTTGTTTTCAAAGTCTGTGTCCACAGAAAGGACTGTTTGCACTTGTTTAATTTGCGTTCTTGGCTCCCTCTCTTCCACCTGCTTCTTGCACAACATTAACTCTGCCAAGGCTTCTTCCTTTAGTCTCTTGTGCTGTTCTACTGCAATTTCAAGGGCCTGAATATGCTTTCTTAGCAACTGCTCTTCTTCAACTTTGCTTTTACACTGGAGAATTGTTTCCCTTGTCTCAGCAAGAATGTGCTGAATTTCTTCTTCATGAGCCTCTCTCAGAGCCTGTATACTAGCTTCATGTTCATCATTCTTAGTGTTCAGGGCATATATCACCTATTGAGAGTGAGAAAAATAATAGGAAATTAAAGTATCTGGTAAATGGAAGCCATTAATTCTGTTACTGTATGTATCAAATTGTTAAATTCCAAGTTGTTAAACTGCTCCAGTTTAGTGTTTTGCTGTTGTTTCTTTGTGTTGCTTGTTTCTTTTCACTAGAGACAGACTGGACAATTATAAACTGCAAAATCTTCTAAGAAGTGTTCAGACAATGTGTTGGGGTATTTTCCTCTCACTTTCAGTAATAGCCATAAATCTCAGAAATCAAGTTTTAAAGGACTTGAGTGAGCCTCTGATGACAATAAGCATTGTTTCAAACAATTGATTTAAACCCTTTGATGCTTACTATTATTCTTGAAAATGCAAAATAATTCTCATTACTATAATACAAATTATTAGCCCAAGCATGCTTCATCTATTACCAAAGTCTCCTCACAGAAGATGTTGCACAAACATGCTATTGCTTTGGAAAGAAAAAGCTATTAGAAGCCCAAAGCAGACTGAAGAGTTCAGAGTTAAACCTGGTAAATGTGCATGTTAAGCTTAAAACAGTTTCATATAACTGCAAAACATAGTAACTGCTCTGAAAATAACACAGCTTGTTTTTACAGGCCCCATTACTGCACAGGAGCTGATCCAGTTACTACTGAACATAGTTAGATTCATATACTCACAGAATAGTTAGGGTTGGAAAGGACCTTTAGATCATCAAGTTCCAACCCCCCTGACATGGGCAGGGACACCTCACACTAAACCGTACCACCCAAGGATTCGTCCAACCTGGTCTTGAACACTGCCAGGGATGGAGCATTCACAACTTCCTTGGGCAACCTATTCCAGTGCCTCACCACTCTTACAGGAAAGAACTTCTTCCTTATATTCTATCTAAACTTCCCCTGTTTAAGTTTTAACCCTTTACTCCTTGTCCTATTCACTACAGTCCCTAATGAAGAGTCCCTCCCCAGCATCCCTATAGGCTTCCTTCAGATACTGGAAGGCTGCTATGAGGTCTCCACGCAGCCTTCTCTTCTCCAGGCTGAACAGCCCCAACTTTCTCAGCCTATCTTCATACGGGAAGTGCTTAAGTCCCCTGATCATCCCTGTGGCCCTCCTCTGGACTTGTTCCAACAGTTCCATGTCCTTTTTATGTTGAGGACACCAGAACTGCACACAATACTCCAGGTGAGGTCTCATGAGAGCAGAGTAGAGGGGCAGGATCACCTCCTTCGACCTGCTGGTCATGCTTCTTTCGATGCAGCCCAGGATACGGCTGGCTTTCTGGGCTGCGAGCACACACTGAAGCCGGCTCATGTTCATTTTCGCATCAACCAACACCCCCAAGTCCTTCTCCTCAGGGCTGCTCTGAATCTCTCCTCTGCCCAGCCTGTAGCTGTGCCTGGGATTGCTCCAACCCAGGTGTAGGACCTTGCACTTGTCATGGTTAAACTTCATGAGGTTGGCATCAGCCCAATTCTATGAATGTTAGTTTGGCAAATGAATTCTATCCCCACTGTAATTAGACTATTTAGGCTAATGAGATGCATTAGTTCATATTTTTGTAGCATAATACAGATCAAACTTCTGGGATATAAATCTATCAAGTTCTTCTATATGTTTTAGTTATGTAACAAAAACCAGACAGCTAAATTAGTAGTGAATTAAATGTAAATAAGGCCTTTTTATTCCTTCTATTGACACTGTTGACTTCGCTTCTGTACTAAAAATTCATCTGGACTACAGTGACCTAAAAATGGACAGAGGGCATAGATACAAATCTTCTATTTCCTGCATGCTATCTATCTGAAACAGCTTCACAAGATGGAGTTGAATTCATCCAAGACTGTAAAAGCCTGAGATTTAAGGAGTTATACAAGAATTTCACCAAGACAGGCACTGCAAAAGGTGAACAGAAAGGACTCCGATATCAAACAATTTGGCCTTTCTGATTATCTACATACATGTGTTTGTTTATTTACAGTGATTCATCTATGAATAAGCACAATATTTTAAAGTGTTTATATCTAGTTCTGTGGTAGCCATAGGTGTTATGATAGTAATACAGAGTAATGTAGTGCTCTTTTTATTTGAAAGCAATTCTGTCTGTGTTGCCAAACTGATCAATTTTAGAGCTGCTTTTTATAAACTGTTTTATCAACACAACTGTTAAGAGCTTTACACAACATTGACCAGCAGTGTTTACACTCACAAGGTACAGATACTGAAATAATTTTCCAGTATTTTTCCTTTCAGTCCCAGGTTCATCTCACATAATTCCAGTCTCTTAAATGACATATCTGGAATAAGAATAGAGTAGCTATATTTGGTAGGGAGTGAAAAGCATGTGTGAGGGGCTTAAATTTCATAAAGTACAGAGCAGCAGCCCTCTAAAAACTAAATCGCTTAAAAAGGCTAAGATACTGAAGAATTAGTTTCAGCACTCAAGCTTGAAGATTAAATTTAAAAGCATGCATTTTCAAATCAAAACTCTTTGTTGTGGTACTAGCCACTATTGAACGGAACTGTAGGAATAATAGAGCAGGGAGACCAGTTTCTTCCACTGTTTTAGATAATTCACTGAAGCTGTTGGTAATGGTCTAATGCTTAGTGGAATTTGGGAAATCTCTATGATGAAGTCAGACTTCAGAGGTATCCAAATGCCACCATCAGCCTGAACACAACATGAGATAGGCAGTGCTGATTTACTAGATAAATTCATAATCAAGAGTGGAAGTTTGAGTCACAAGGGGCAGAAATTCATCTCTGTTTTGCTGGTAGAATGAAGCACAGAAATGTGATCGTCAGCATCTGACCTAATTCACAGTATCACAGTATCACAGTATGTTAGAGATTGGAAGGGACCTCGAAAGATCATCTAGTCCAATCGCCCTGCCGGAGCAGGGACACCTAGATAATGTTACACAGGAATGTGTCCAGGCGGGTTTTGAATGTCTCCAGGGAAGGAGACTCCACAGCCTCCCTGGGCAGCCTGTTCCAGTGTTCCGTCACCCTCACTGAGAAGAAGTTTCTTCTCAAGTTTAAGTGGAACCTCTTGTGTTCCAGTTTGTACCCATTACCCCTTGTCCTATCATTGTTTGCCACTGAGTAGAGCCTGGCTCCGTCCTCGTGACACTCCCCCTTTATATATTTATAGACACCATTAAGGTCACCCCTCAGTCTCCTCTTCTCCAAACTATAGAGACCCAGCTCCCTCAGTCTTTCCTCATAAGGGAGATGTTCCACTCCCTTAATCATCTTTGTTGCCCTGCGCTGGACTCTCTCCAGCAGCTCCCTGTCCTTCTTGAACTGAGGGGCCCAGAACTGGACACAATACTCCAGATGCGGTCTCACCAGGGCAGAGTAGAGGGGAAGGAGGACCTCTCTCGACCTACTAACCACCGCCCTTCTAATACACCCCAGGATGCCATTGGCCTTCTTAGCCACAAGGGCACAGTGTTGGCTCATGGTCATCCTGTCGTCCACTAGTACCCCCAGGTCCCTCTCCCCTACACTGCTCTCTAACAGGTCGTTCCCCAACCTATACTAGAACCTGGGGTTGTTCCTGCCCAGATGCAGGACTCTACACTTTCCCTTGTTATATTTCATCAAGTTACTCCCTGCCCAACTCTCCAGCCTATCCAGGTCTCGCTGGATGGCAGCACAGCCTTCTGGCGTATCAGCCACTCCTCCCAGCTTAGTGTCATCAGCAAACTTGCTGATAGTACACTCAATTCCCTCATCTAAATCGTTGATGAATATATTAAATAATACCGGTCCCAGTACTGACCTTTGAGGCACTCCACTAGCTACAGGCCTCCAACTAGACTCAGCCCCATAGACTACAACTCTCTGGCTTCTCTCCTTCAGCCAGTTCGCAGTCCACCTCACTACCTGATCATCCAGTCCACACTTCCTCATTTTAGCCGCGAGGATGCTGTGGGAGACTGTGTCAAATGCTTTGCTGAGGTCAAGGTAGACCACATCCACCGCTCTGCCATCATCCATCCACCGTGTTATTTCCTCATAAAAGGCTAAGAGATTGGTCAAACATGATTTCCCCCTGGTGAAGCCATGTTGACTGCCCCTCATAACCTTCTTATCCTTGATATGCCTTAAGATGGTACCAAGGATAAGGTGTTCCATCACTTTCCCAGGGATGGAGGTGAGGCTGACCGGTCTGTAGTTACCCGGGTCCTCCTTCTTGCCCTTTTTGAAGACTGGAGTGACATTTGCTTTCCTCCAGTCCTCAGGCACCTCTCCCGTTTCCCAAGACTTGGTAAAGATGATGGAGAGTGGTCTAGCAATGACTTCCGCCAGTTCCCTCAGCACCCGCGGGTGCATCCCATCTGGACCCATGGATTTATGGATGTCCAGATTGCTCAACTGGTCTCTAACCCATTCCTCATCGACTAAGGCAAACCGCTCCGTCGACCTGACTTCATCTAAGGTCTCAGGGGTACAGGGCTCTTCAGGACTGCCCGCAGCAGAGTAGACAGAGACAAAGAAGGCATTCAGTAACTCTGCCATCTCTTTATCTTCTGTCACCAGGGCACCCATCCCGTTCATCAGTGGGCCTACATTGCCTCTGGTGTTAGTTTTGTCTGCCATGTATTTAAAAAAGCTCTTTTTGCTGTCCTTGACCCTTCTCACCAGGTTTAATTCTAAGGATGCCTTAGTCCTCCTAGCTGCCTTCCTACATCCTCTAGCAGCAGCCTTATATTCCTCCCAAGTGGCCAGCCCCTCCTTCCATGACCTGTAAACTCTCCTCTTCCACTTGAGCATACCCAGCAATTCCCTATTTAGCCACGCAGGTCTCTTGGCCCTCTTCCTTGACTTCCTACGTGTCGGGATGCTCCGATCTTGAGCACGGAAAAAGCAGTCCTTGAATGTCAACCAACTATCTTGGGCCCCTTTACCTTCAAGCAGCCCTGCCCATGGGATTTCCCCTAGCAATTGCTTGAAAAGGCCAAAGTTTGCCCTGCTAAAGTCCAGGGTTGCAA